AAGAATGGCCAGCATTAAGTAAAAGACAATTGTCACTCTCCTCATTCCAGATATTATACTTCCATCTGGACTAAGATCCAAATTTTTTATCTAATCATATTCCTAATTCTTACTGTCTCATTATCTAATTCTTTACTAAAACACCTACACTTTCTCTGTAAACACAGATTTTAAGATTCTCTTGACTCATCCTTTACTTGGTAGTTTTTTAAAACCCTAATATAAGAACTTATGTTCATCCCTGTTAAATGTGATCTTGTCAGCTGGGTGTGGTGGCTCACACTTGTAATCCCAGCACTTTGGGAGGCCAAGGCCTGAGGTCAGGAGTTCGAGACCAGCGTGTCCAACATAGTAAAACCTCATCTCTACTAAAAATATAAAATTAGCTGGGTGTGGTGGCAGGCACCTGTAGTCCCAGCTACTCAGAAGGCTGAGGCAGGAGAAACACTTGAACCCAAGAGGCAGAGGTTGCAGTGAGCTAAGGTTGTACCACTGTACTCCAGCCTGGGCAACAGAACAAGACTCCATCTCAAAATAAATAAATACATAAACAAATTTGATCTTGTTAGATTTTCCCTAACTAGATCTTTTTGGATCTTAATTCTAACAATCTATCTGCTATACTCTCAACTCTGTGTCATGCACACCTATTTGTGTTCCCATTATATCATCATTGATAGAAATTATGAAGAGGAAAGAGTATAAAAAGAATCCTACAGCACGTCAGAAATCTCCCTGAAGTTCAGTGATCCTTGAATTTTAATGTGTACCCAAGTGATCCTTGAATTTCAATGTGCACAGAAATTCAAGGAGCTTCTGTGCCCTACCCCTAGAGATTATGATTTAGGAGGTCTGAGACAAGGCCCAGCCATCTGTTTTCAATGTCTTTCCCCAAGTCAATTTCAGGTGGTCGATCTGTAGACATTTGGAGAAACACCGCCCAGTGTGATACTCATCGTAAGTCAAATCCTTTTGGGTATGGCCACTCTGGCATAATCCAACCAATTATCTTCACATCCTCCTCATGCTCCCTGCCACTTTTAGGAAGTTATCATAAGAAAGTAACCTATTCAGATGACTTGCCAAAATCCAGTTGTGCTGGTGTTATTGTATTTCCCTGCTTTACCAGCGCTGCTAGCCTATAAAGGAAGAAATAATGCAGACATGACTTGTTCTTAGTGAATCTGTTCAGTGTACTCACAACCAATTCTTCCTTACGTTCAGTGCCCACAATTTGCTCTTTTAGTTCCTGATCTAGAATCCTACCAGTGTTTCAGGGTCAAGCTCACCAGCTGGTAGTTAACAGAACCAACTTTCTTCACCTTTGGAAAATTGCAACTGCCTTTATCTGTCTCCAGTCATTTGTAAAAGCTACTATTCTTAACCCATTTATTTCTACTGTTCCATTATTAGAACGCTAAGCTTTCGGGAATTATTTATATGCTACTGCTCAAGGTCATCACTAAGGTCTGATTTTTCACCAAAAAAATTTGCAACCTCCAGCATAAATGGGTTAAAAGCCCTAAAAAATCAGGGACAGCCGCAAGTTCTTTCTGAAGCTATACTGGAATGTAATGCACCCAGGCCTGAACATCTGAACCCATTTTGAAAATCTTTACCATGTGGAGCATTCATTCTCCCTTACCAATGATCACTCTACTCCTTTTCAGTAGGAAGATCGTTTTCCTCGACATAAAGGACAGAAGCAAAACAGATTTTTCAGAGTCCTACTTTCTCTATATCATGCATCAATAGTACATTATCAGTTACAAACAGCAGATCTATCCAACCTTTTCATCTTTTTCTTGCTCTAAACATAACTTTAAGTACATAAATCTTCCTTAGCAATTCTTACAAGCTTCTATTGATTAGTGGCTTTAGTTTTCTGGTTGCTGTTTCTGGCTTATAAACATAAGCCATCCTCTTTCTTTTTTTTTTTTTTTTTTTTATTTGAGATGGAGTCTCACTCTGTCACCCAGGCTGGAGTGCAGTGGCACAGTCTTGGCTCACTGCAGCCTCTGCCTCCCAGGTTCAAGTGATTCTCCTGCCTCAGTCTCCCAAGTAGCTAGGACTACAGGTACCTGCCACCACACCCAGCTAATTTTGTATTTTTACTAGAGACGGGGTTTCACCATGCTGGCCAGGCTGGTCTCGATTTCCTGACCTCATGATCCACCCACCTCAGCCTCCCAAAGTGCTGGGACTACAGGCATGAGCCACCATGCTCAGCCAAGAAATGCAAATTCTTGGCTCAAGGATCGCTCAAGCGATCCTCCCACCTCAGTCTCCCAAAGTGCTGGGATTACAGGCATGAGCTACTGCAACTAGCCATTTAAATTTTTAAAAAACGTTACTGGAGGCCACCCCATGTTTCTTTTGTAAGCAGGAATATAATAAATACCACCATATTGATAAAATATTTGCTTTAAATATATCTGTGATAATCTACTTCTTAGAAGTGGAAAAAATAAAATCATTCAAATGGACTCAATTGTATATTCTAGTGTGAATTATGAGATGATTGACATCAATCAATTTTATGGGCAGTATATTGATGTTTGTTCCACAGAAGTTCTAAGGTAGAGATATTTACAAGGTCTAAGTTAAAAGCCATATGTAGAACATGGCACTAGAGAAATCACAGAATTTATATTCAAAATGCAGAATATTCTGAAGATAAGACGGGCGCGGTGGCTCACACCTGTAATCCCAGCACTTTGGGAGGCTGAGGTGGGTGGATCACTTGAGGTCAGGAGTTCGAGACTAGCCTGACCGATATTGTGAAACCCCATATTTAAAATAAAAATAATTTAAAAAATAAAAAAAGAATACTCTGAAGATATGTGTAACTACTTTTAATTGAGATGTGTAACAAATAGTTTAAAAAGCAATTTCTATCCAGCCTGGCTTGCACAGCATATCTCAATTCCAAAGAAGTACTAAAAGATGCCAATAAGAGAAAATAACATAATAATAAAAGAAAATCATGAAGTGAACCGTAAACATAATTTTCTGAAGACATCTGGGATGTGAAAAGAGTATACTGCATATAAAACTATGATTTCTTTAATTATTCTTAGAAAATGAATAGGTAAAATATGTTACTCATTACTACAAATAAAGCAATAAAACACAACACACTAAACTGTGGAAATATATTAATTCTTCAATAATCGGAACAGTGATGTATTTCTGCTAAATAGTTTTCTCGCTAAAATTAGTTATAAAAAGTAGAGTTTGAGCAGAATAATTCTGCTTTCAAAAACAGTATATTCTGTTTCTAATATGGAATATAAATACCTCATAAATAACATTAATATTGTTAAAATTATCAAATAAGTGATAAAAATGGACAACACAAATCTTAATGTATAAATACAAACTTTGATTCACAGGTTCTGAGGGTTAGGGAAATACATAAACATAAGCTTTGAGAGGAAGGATTTGGTGGTAAGATGTATAACCACATTCAGAAAATATACTTCTTATTCCTATTTCTGTTACTCAAAACTCTCACTAAAGTGAGAGTCACTCAGCTTTTGGAAGTCTGTTTCTCTGTACCAAAATTGGACCAGAAGATTACACATCAGTGAGAAATGCTTTGATGACTAGAAAATGACTCTTAAGTGTTTATAAACCCAGTATATCATCATCATCATCATCATCATCATCCCATTTATACTTCCATTTGCTCAGTTAGTTGTCTTGTTAGCAACACAGATACTATATAAAATCATCCTACTCTTTTTCACTTCCTGGCTCTTTTATCATTCCATCCAGCTTCAACAATCTTTAGCTTATTTGGGGCTAATAAACATGCTCACCCAAAGAAAGTGAGGGTTTACAATGTAATGTTCTGGTGATGCTGTAGGCTTCTTAGGGGAGAGACATCTCATAAATATAAACAGTTATGCATAGAACCCATGATTGTTTGGGAGGCTGAGGTAGGAGAATTGCTTGAACCGGGACCCAGAAGGCCGAGGCTGCAGTGAGCCGAGATTGTACCATTGCACTCTAACCTGGGCTACAGAGCGAGACTCCATCTTAAAAAAACCCAAAAAACAAAAAAAAACCATGGTTGTAGTTTGAGATTACAGAAGTTTCTTATTATACTTCATTTAACAGTATTAACAAAGCTTTGTTTTCATGTCAGTTTTGACACATAAAAATATTACAGTAATGATTTTTTTTTCACTCAACAAAGAAAACAGTTTCTAAAAATGAGGCAATTTCTCTCCCTTTTGTCATTGACCAGAAGATATGCTATCTTTTTTATTTTACTCCAGAAAGAAGAAGCTTTATCATAATTGAAATGACCCTATTCTAGGACCATTCTAAAATGCACATATCCACCTCAAAAGATCTCCAGAAACCTAATCAAATCTCTTTCTCTGACCATCATGCCTTACATGGAGCTAATAATGAATGCCTGCAACTGATTGAGGGACTTTAAAAAAGATGACAGTCTTAGGACAAACTAACTTGCTTTGTTAGGACAAAACTAATTCCTTTTGTCATTTACTCATTCAACAAATATTTATTAAGCAGCTATAAATTGCTTCAATCATTCAATATGTACACAAAATGTAAAAAATATAATAAAGAAATATTTCTACATTCCAATTTTTTGAAAAATTCCTGCCGGGCGCGGTGGCTCAAGCCTGTAATCCCAGCACTTTGGGAGGCCGAGGCGGGTGGATCACGAGGTCGAGAGATCGAGACCATCCTGGTCAACATGGTGAAACCCCGTCTCTACTAATGGTGCAAAAAATTAGCTGAGCATGGTGGCGCGTGCCCGTAATCCCAGCTACTCAGGAGGCTGAGGCAGGAGAATTGCCTGAACCCAGGAGGCGGAGGTTGCGGTGAGCCGAGATCGCGCCATTGCACTCCAGCCTGGGTAACAAGAGCGAAACTCTGTCTCAAAAAAAAAAAAAAAAAGAAAAAAGAAAAATTCCTAGCATGCACTTCACATATAGTTTTATGCATACAAATGACCTTACCTCTCTTACAGATAGTTGTGCTGGGAAGGAGACTGAAAATACCAAGCTGGTGAATTCAAACCCAGAGGCCTCAACCTTTTGGCACACCTAAAAAAGTATTACAATTGTGTAAATTCCCAGGAATTGCCGAAAATATCACTTACTCTAATCTTCATAACATGAATTTCTGGTCCAGGAGATGACACAGCAAAAATTCCAAACTTTCGCATTTGACAGTGGAACACCCACAAACATCTTGAGATTAAATATTGCCTAACTATGACCCTGAAGACTAATACCACAAGGAAACGAAGCAGCCAGAAGTGACATCTGCAGAATAAACTATTGTCAAAATAGCTTTCTATTAGGTCACCTTCTAATTTTCAAACAAAATAAACCCAAACATAGCACTCTTGACAGAAGAAAACAAAAGACAATCCCACATTCAATCACTTACCTTTTTTATTTTTTTTGAGATGGAGTCTAGCTCTGTCACCCAGACTGGAGTGCAGTGGTGCGATGTTGGCTCACTGCAAACTCTACCTCCCGGATTCAAGCAATTCTCCTGTCTCAGCCTCCTGAGTAGCTGTATTACAGGTGCCTGCCACCACACCCAGCTAATTTTTGTATTTTTAGTAGAGACAGGGTTTCACTGTGTTGGCCAGGCTGGTCTCGAACTCCTGACATCATGATCCACCTGCCTTGGCCTCCCAAAGTGCTGGGATTACAAGCATGAGCCACTGTGCCCAGTGAAATCATTTACCTTCTACAAGGCTGTACTCTCCTGGACAATAATAAGTATGATTAGAAATGAACTTTTCTGTCACTTAGCTATGTTAAACAGCAAAATGAAAACAAACTGCTATATTTTTCTTCAATTAAATAGCACTTATGACTGAAATACATAAATATACATTTTATTAATTTTCAGATATGTCAATTAAAAAGTAATTTCAGATAGTAGGCTTTTGTTTAAAAAAATTAAGAAAATATTTTAATGATTCAATTGTGTGAAACAAGTTGAGTATGAATGGCAGTGTTCCTTTCAATATAAGAATTCTTGGGGCCGGGTGCGGTGGCTCAAGCCTGTAATCCCAGCACTTTGGGAGGCCGAGGCGGGTGGATCACGAGGTCGAGAGATCGAGACCATCCTCGTCAACATGGTGAAACCCCGTTTCTACTAAAAATACAAAAAATTAGCTGGGCATGGTGGCACATGCCTGTAATCCCAGCTACTCAGGAGGCTGAGGCAGGAGAATTGCTTGAACCCAGGAGGCGGAGGCTGCGGTGAGCCAAGATCGCGCCATTGTACTCCAGCCTGGGTAACAAGAGCGAAACTCTATTTAAAAAAAAAAAAAAAAAAAGAATTCTTGGGCCGGGCGCGGTGGCTCAAGCCTGTAATCCCAGCACTTTGGGAGGCCGAGGCGGGTGGATCACAAGGTCGATAGATCGAGACCAACCTGGTCAACATGGTGAAACCCCGTCTCTACTAAAAATACAAAAAATTAGCTGGGCACGGTGGCGCGTGCCTGTAATCCCAGCTACTCAGGAGGCTGAGGCAGGAGAATTGCCTGAACCCAGGAGGCGGAGGTTGCGGTGAGCTGAGATCGCGCCTTTGCACTCCAGCCTGGGTAACAAGAGCGAAACTCCGTCTCAAAAAAAAAAAAAAAGAATTCTTGAAGCTAGGCATGGTGGCCTGTGCCTGTAGTCCCAGCTACTTGGGAGGCTAAGGCGTGAGGATCACTTGAGCCTGGAGGTGGAGGTTGCAATAAGCTGATACTGTACCAATGCACTCCAGCCTGGGTGACAGAGTGAGTCCCTGTCTCAAAAACAAAAACAAAAAAAACAAAAAACAGAAGGCTGGGCGCAGTGGCTCACACCTGTAATCCCAGCACTTTGGGAGGCCAAGTTGGGCAGATTACCTAAAGTCAAGATTTCAAGACTAGCCTGGCCAACATGGCGAAACTCCCGTCTCTACTAAAAATACAAAAATTAGCTGGGTGTGGTGGCACGTTCCTATAATTCCAGCTACTTAGCAGGGTGAGGCAGGTGAATCACTTGAATCTGGGAGGCGGAGGTTGCAATGAGCTGAGATTGCATCATTGCACTCCAGCCTGGGTGACGAGAGCAAAACTCTGTCTCAAAAAAACAAAAAGAGAAAAAAAATTCTTGGCCTTAGCCAGATGCAGTGGCACACACCTGTAATCCCAGCACTTTGGGAGGCCAAGGCAGGAGGATCACTTGAGGCCAGGAGTTCAAGACTAGCACAGTAACATAAGGAGACTCTGCCTCTACAAAGAGATTGAAAAATTGTGTGTGCATGGTGGTATATTCCTGTAGCCTTAGCTACTCAGAAGGCTGATGTAGGAGGATTGCTTGAGCCCAAGAGCTGGAGGCTGCAGTGAGCTGTGATTGAAGCACAGCACTCCAACCTGGGCAATCGAATGAGACCCCCTCTTCCCCTAAAAAAAAGAATTGTCTTGTCTCCAAAAAAGAAAAGAAAGAATTCTTGGTCTTAGGACTGAAAATTTCCATGTAATTGCACCTATAATGAAAAACAGGTTATTTACCTTTTTAACGAAATCTTTCTCACAGAATTCTTGAAGAATTCCTAGGCATATATTACATACATTTAAATTTGAGTTCTTGGAAGCAATGCTTCCATCTTGACTAACAGAAATCCTTCCCGCTCCATTCTGACTTAGATTATCAACACTATCTTCCAGTTCTTGCAGTCGAATTTTCTTGGGAGGTGGGTTCATAACTTCCAAAATTAATTCATCTTTTTCAGTTTCCAGAAATTTCTGTAGTTCACTGAGCAACTCCTGAAAAGTTAATAAAAGAAAAAGCAATGATCCACTGAGAATGCCCTTAAGGCTTTCTAGGTAACATGAAACAAGAAAATACAAGTGAAAATTAGGACATATCACAGATTTTACATTGACATATCAGCTCTGAAGCAATCCAGTTATTTTATTAGACAGCATTGGCTTTTATGGAATTTAAAAGAGAATTACCTATCTCTATTATATATACATGAATACATTTCAAAAGAGTTCCATATATCAGTGAATATATTCCTAGGCATATATTACATACATTTAAATTTGAGTTCTTGGAAGCAATGCTTCCATCTTGACTAACAGAAATCCTTCCCTTTCCATTCTGACTTAGATTATCAATACTATCTTCTAGTTCTTGCAGTCGAATTTTCTTGGGAGGTAGGTTCATAACTTCCAAAATTAATTCATCTTTTTTTGTTTCCAGCTTCCAACTCAAAAGTCATAAATCTGAGGAAGAAAGGCTCCATTAACAAATTTATTAATTTGCAGTTCTGTTGTGAGTCATTCACTTGCTAATTTCAGTAAAAACAAACTTCAATTCTAGTGATAAACATATAAAAATACAAACTGAATTTCCATCCTTGCTAGGTTATTTAATAACCTCATAATGACTAAAAGCTCACAAGTATAATATTTAATATAAAATCTGATCATTAGGGTAGTCTATTAAGTAAAAATAATTTGGAGACAATTTACTAAGAAAGGTACACAATTGCTGATAATGCTGAAAGTTAGCATATGTTTACAAACCATTTATATATATTAATTGAAAGATGTGCTCTACTATATTCTAGTTTGCCTAATTTCTGTCATTTCTTGTATTAGAATGTAAAAACTTGCATTTCTTTGAAACCATTCTCACATTTCTCTAATTTAGATATTCCTCTCATCTAAATACTCAGAGGATTTTCCTGTTTTGTTTAGACAGGTTTTATTATCCCATTGTTGAATAAATATCTTTTTAAAATTCATTCAGATGACAATTTACTGACTCTAAAGGGAAAAAAATCTTTCACTCAAGCAAATTTAAATTTATTTTATTGAGAAATTAGCTCTCCTGCTTTAATAGAGAAATACAGACACATACATATACAGGTACATTTTGACTCACACAAATATGTTTGTTGTTACCTAAGATCTATAATATCAGTATAACACAGTGCATACACAGATGTGCATGTATATACATAGCTACATGAATAGAACAGATCGAAATTTAAAAACATTTCAAAAAAACTGTCCTAATATTCTTGTATATTTATTTACATAAAATGAAACAAAAGTTGATAACACTCAGTCTCTTAATATAAATTTAAAATCTAATAACAGGTTATAATGTGTCTGAAAAAAATGTGTAAGCAGGGTTACATAAAACTAGTCCTATTACTTTATAGTAATATTATGCATAAATGAATATACACATATTTAAATTATCACAGCACAAGTACCATTTCTGGTTTTCTTTTTTTTTTCTTTTGAGGTGGAGTCTCACTCCGTTGCCCAAGCTTGAGTGGAGTGGCATGATCTTGGCTCACTGCAACCTCCGTCCCCTGGATTCAAGCGATTTTCCTGCCTCAGCCTCCTGAGTAGCTGAGATTACAGGCACCTGCCACCGCACCTGGCTAATTTTGTATTTTCAGTAGAGACAGGGTTTCACCATCTTGGCCAAGCTGGTCTCGAACTCCTGACCTCTGATCCACCCGCCTCAGCCTCCCAGAGTGCTGGGATTACAGGCATGAGCTACTGCGCCCGGCTGATTTCTGGTTTTCAAAGTGTTTCCACATACTTTATTAGGTACTGTCTCTTAAAGTCCTGTGAGGTGGGTATTATCATCCTTCCCATTTACAGGAGTAAACTGAAGCTGGAAAGCGGTGGAACTGGGATTCAAATCCATGTCTTGTAGCTCCAAATCCTAGGTTTTGAATTCAGACAGACTGTTCAAATCCTAGCTTGCTCACTTAATAGCTGTGTAACTTTGGGCAGGTTGCTTAACCTCTCTGTATCTCAGTTTCTTCATCTGAAAATAGAGACAATCATAGTATGCACTTACCTAATCAGTTATTACGAGAATTATATGAGAGCTTGACATATAGTAATGATAACTGAATACAGCATATTATAGCATACTACTAACTCCTGGACAATTTTTTAAATTACAAGAAATTGTGTGTGTGTATGTGTTGTATGCATACTGTTTATAATGTATATATTTACATATGTATTATTACTATCTGCCTCTAAAAAGAATATCACTTCTAGAATCAAACATTTTAAGCTACATATCTTATGCAAAAAAGTATTATATTAAATGTCAAAGCTCTCTGTATATTACCATAAATGTCAAAGATCTCTATATATTACTTTTGTCATTAATAGCAGTAATAATGACAATAAGCATTTATTTTTAGAGGGTTCCAAATACCTATTTATAAATACAAATGGAAATATAGAAAATAGGAAAAACAGAAAAAGGCAACCATACCCATAATACTTCCACTTAGTAGGACATGTAAGGAGGAAGCAATATTTTGTGATATTCTGTTCAGATATCTTTTAAGAAACATCTATACAAATGTTAAATGCACCAGGGAGTTCCTCCACAAAGATTCCACTACACTAAATGTTAGACAGCTAGATAGAATCACTTAAGAAGGAATTTAACATTTCTGAGACTCTTCCAAAATTATGATTATCACTTATTTTATTATAGTTTTTTTAATTTAAAAAAGAGTTATGGATAGATACTTGCTCTCAAAAGTACAGGCATTCATTGTAAAATATAGAGAAGCTTCCCTTAACTTGAAAAAAAAAAAAAAGAAAATACCTTGTATGGAAGTTTATAAGGTGCATGAAAATCCACACCACAGAATCTGAAGATACATCTTGGACAAGTACCAGTATTGAGCAACAACCGGGCCACACACTTGCTTTCCTTGGTCAGTGGAAACATACTGAATAATTATAACTAGAAAGACAAAAGTAAAACTAATGAGCAGCTTTTGCATTTTACTGTCACATACAAATAAGTCATAATGTTTAGGGATAAAGACTAGCTTTTATTTGAAAAACACTATTGTGTACTCTCTGGCCAAGCCCCTTTCATTATATACATATTCTAAAATACAAACTTGAAGGAATTATATAAGATGGATCCAGTAAACATTTCTAATTGTCAAGGAATTTTGTTTAGCATTCTGAATTATGATACAATACATCAATATAACTAAGTTGGTCAAAAGAAATAAAAATAATCAAGAATGGTTGCTTCTGAGGAGGATAATGAAAACAGAAGTACAGAGTGAAATTTTGCTTTTTCTTTTGTACTATTCAGTATTGTACAAAGTTAATTCATTAAACTTTTCCTATTAGAAATTAAAAATGAGTTTGCTGGTGTTTGGGCTAAGAAAGCCATATCCCAAAATGAAAGCCTCAGCAGCAGCCTCAGAAGCAAATGTTTTTCTCTAACCTTCTGCCCTCTTGTCTCTCAGTCCCATTCTCCCCCAGACTAGCCATAGATCCCTCTTCCTCAAGGTGAGTCAAAGAAACCAGAACCCCCTTTCCCTAAAGCCAGCCTTAAAATCTCAAAATATTACTTAAATTTGGCTGAGTGCAGTGGCTTGCACCTGTAATCCCAGCACTTTGGGAGGCCAAAGTGGGTGGATCACCTGAGGTCTGGAGTTTGAGACCAGCCTGGCCAACATGGTGAAATCCTGTCTCTACTAAAAATACAAAAAAATAAAAATTAGCTGGGCATGATGCTGGGCGCCTATAATCCCAGCTACTTGAGAGGCTGAGGCAGAAGAATCACTTGAACCTGGGAGGTGAAGGTTGCACTGAGCAGATATGGCACCACTGTACTCCAGCCTGGGTAACAAGAGCAAACCTTCGTCTCAAAAAAAAAATTATATATATATATACACACACACACACACACACACACACACACACACACACACACACACCCCGCAAATTTTCCCTCCACTTTTCTGAGTAAAAACTGACCATGAAAAATGAGGCAAGGTGCAGTGGCTCACACCTATAATCTCACCACTTTGTGGGGCCAAGGTGGAGGATCGCTTGAGGCCAGGAGTTTGAGACCAGCCTGGGCAACACCATGAGACCCTGTCTCTACAAAAAAAACTGAAAAATTAGCTGGGCATGGTGGTGCACACCTGTAGTCACAGCTACTCAGAAGACTGAGGTGGGAGGATTGCTTGAGCCCAAGAGGTAGAGGTTGTAGTGAATCAAGATCATGCCACTGTACTCCAACCTGGGTGACAGTGCAAGACCCTGTCTCTAAAAAGCGAAGGAAAAAAAAAAGAAGACGACAAATTATCTGACCTCTCTTTGACTGTAGGTCAAAAGACCCTCCATTCCGCAACAGGTCCTGCCCTACACCTAGAAGGAAGGAATGCATGCTCTGAGAGGCTGAGAAGAACCTCAACAGACGGGCTTGCTGGGTTTTCCCATTCAGTTAATTACCCTTTTTTGTCCAATCATATTTCTTTTTTTTTTTTTTTGAGACAGAGTCACCTGGCTGGAGTGCAGTGGCATGATCTCAGCTCACTGCAACCTCCACCTCCTGGGTTTAAGCAATTCTCCTGCTTCAGCCTCCCAACTAGCTAGGACTACAGGTGCGTGCCACCACGCCCAGCTAATTTTTGTATTTTTTTTTTTAGTAGAGACAGGGTTTCACCATGTATCTGCCCACCTCGGCCTCCCAAAGTGCTGGGATTACAGGCATGAGGCACCGTACCAGGCACCAATCATATTTCTATGTGCTGCCCATACTTTGATGAAACTAAACATAAAAATGGATAATTTCCTATTATCATGTCTTCATTCTGAAGGCTCCTGTGTATACACATTACATAAACATGTATGCCTTTTCTCCCATTAATCAATTTGCCTGATGTCAGTGATTTTCGGAGAACCTCTAGGTGGCTAGGGGCCTTGGCATTCAGACTAGACAAAAAAATCAGATCAGTCTTCATTATATAATACTTGACTACACTTAATGATAGTTTAGCAGTCAACTATTTAAAACAAATTGAGGCCGGGCACAGTGGCTCTCATCTGTAATCCCAGCACTTTGGAAGGCCAAGGAAGAAGATCACTTGAGGCCCGGAATTCGAGACCAGCCTGGCCAACATGGAGAAACCCCATCTCTACTAAAAATACAAAAATTAGCTGGGTTTGGTGGAGGGTACCTGCACTCCAGCCTGGGTGACAGAGCAAGACTCTGTCTCAAAACAACAACAAACAACAACGACAACAGATCAGCAAGTCCAAAAACATCAACTTTACTTTGATGATATAATGACTAAATGGCAATCACCTGTTAACAAAATAAAAATCTGTCCCTTTCATGAGTAAAATCTCCAACAAAAGGCCAGGCACGGTGGCTCACATCTGTGATTCCAGCACTTTGGGAGCTGAGGCAGGCAGATCACCTGAGGTCAGAAGTTCGAGACCAACCTGGCCAACACGGTGAAACCCCATCTCTACTAAAAATACAAAACATTAGCCAGGTGTGTTGGTATGACCTGTAATCCCAGCTACTCAGGAGGTTGAGACAGGAGAATTGCTTGAAACCAGGAGGTGGAGGTTGTAGTGAGCCAAGATTGTGCCACTGCACTCTAGCCTGGGCAGCAAGAGTGAAACTCGGTCTCAAAAAAAAAAAAAAAAAAAAAAACCTCCAACAAAAACAAATACAAAACATTTAAGCGCAACTGTTTGCTTAATTAAGTAGCCAATTTTTGCAATTTAAACAAACTGACAAAAAAAAACTATATAGAGAATAAGGGCAAATCTGTCTCCTGTTACCAGGAAGGAGGCATACTAAAAATTCAAACAACCTAATTTGTTTAGCAAAACTAGATCTTCTAATTAGTGAAACAGTCCATATTACCTTAAAATGATATTTAAAGCAATATTTTAGAAAATAATCAATGCATGGCAATCCTTTTCTTTTTTTTTTTGAGATGAAGTCTTGCTCTTGTCATCTAGGCTGGAGTGCAGTGGTGTGATCTTGGCTCATTGCAACCTCTGCTTCCGAAGTTCAAGGGATTCTTATGCCTCAGCCTCCTGAGTAGCTGGGATTACAGACACGTGCCACCATGTCCAGCTAATTTTTGTTTTTTTAATAGAGACAGGGTTTCACCATGTTGTCAGGCTGGTCTCCAACTCCTGACCTCGTGATCTGCCCACCTCAGCCTCCCAAAGTGCTGGGATTACAGGCGTGAGACACCAGGTCCAGCCAAAATAATCACTGCATGGCAATCTTATGGCATGCTATAACTGTGGTCATACAGATGAAAGACAGTGGCATCTTGTAATTTGTGCAGTTTCATAATTCAAATGAACTTCCTTAAAATTTGTGGAAGGGTAAAGCTCTCCCCAATCTCTTAGTGTGGAGATGTGATTCTTCCAGTCTGCATTTTCTAAACCTCTAAAACTTACTACTTGCTTGCAAGTTTCTAAATGTTTGGGGCCACTTACCAAGATCCTTGACAAAAAATAATGAGGAAGACAGGTACATAGTTCTACAGAACTCTTCACCGTAAAAATCAGTTCAGCAGCCAGGATTATTAAAAACAGACTGCCTCTGGCTGAATTCTAATTCTAGTGAAAAGATGAGTCAGCAGGGAGAAGAAAATCAGGCTTGTATGGAAACACACCATATAAGCTGACAAGGTGACAACTTTGAGACACCAGAATTGAGAAACGTGTATTTAGGGTTGCCTAAGTAAATTTGGGACCCAGGATATTTTCAAAAAAGAAGACAGAATATGTGGAAAACAGCCTCTAAATAATGAAGATCTGGCCAGGCGCAGTGGCTCACACCTGTAATCCCAGCACTTTGGGAGACCAAGGCAGGTGCATCACCTGATGTCTGGAGTTCAAGACTAGCCTGGTCAACATGGTGAAATTCCATCTCTACTAAAATACAAAAATTAGCTACTCAGGAGGCTGAGGCAAGAGAATCGCTTGAACCCAGGAGGCAGAGGCAGCAGTGAGCAGAGATCGTACCACCGCACTCCAGCCTGGGCCACACAGTGAGACTCCATCTCAAAAAAAAAAAAAAAAAAAAATCTGTGTGGTCAAGTCCCTACTATTTAAAAGTGATCTGAATCCCTTTTCCCAGCAAATTTAATCTAGTTTAATGCAGAGAAGGGATCAGATGCTGTGAGGGGCTGAATATAAGCATCTAAAGTGCATCCCTGACTACATACACTCTCCTCACAGAGAAACCGTTTCTGTTTCACCTGTTATTCTAAGTTATTTTTTCTCCATTAGTCAAGGTCAAGAATTTTACCTAATTCAGAAGTAACATTTAACTCAAAAAGAGACACAAACACACCCTCTAATGAACAAATCAATAAGCACCTTAAAAGGACACTTAACGAAGATTTCCCTTGAGACTTAAATAGCTATATTAAAATTTATTTTATTTTCTGTTGCTGTAAGACAATGTTTATTTCCCCAATAAGTTCACAAGAACAAAGGTATCATGCAAAGTGAATAAATGACATATTACAATATTCTGGCTCTGAGAAGTTCTCAAACCTGATGAGAATTACAAAACTTCCAGTTCTGAGTAATCTGAAGAGGTCTAAAAATAGTCCTCAAACAAAAAGACCTTTTTTGAATGTGTATGTTAATAAACGAGCTACGAATTTACAATCCTCTCAACATTATTTTCCCGTAGCAACAATCTAGCAACTTCTCAAGAATATTAACATTAAAAGGAGAAAATACATTACGCCTTAAATTTGGTTGTTTCATCTTGATGTAACGAAATGTCAGGATTGCTTAAGATATCAGAAATCGGTTGTCCACATTAGATGTATTATGTTTGAAAGCAAGCCCTGAGAAAGGCATCCCACAAGTTTTCCAGTGTTGGTTACCCTGAATAAGTTCGCTTTTCATTTACGTGTTTGTTTTACAGAAATAACTCTGTAACAAGTTGCTACAAAGCCGCCTTTTCACGTGTCAGGCTACCTCGAAGGACTGAATCCCTCCTCCCCAAAACAAGGATAACTAGTCCACTCTCTGGCTTACTGGAGGAGAGGACTTTATTTACACCTCTTGGACGATTGCAAAACAAGTCATCGAAAACGAGGAAACGAGTACGGCATGAAAAAAACTACCGAAACGACCAAACGACATCCTAAGATCTTTTAAAACTCATTTCCCTACCGAAAGGTGTCATTGGTACCGCAGCACGGGGCTGGGGGTGTAGATTTACGGGGAAAGAGGTGATCACACTTCACTGGACTTCTGAAACATTCAGCTATACAATCTACTGTGGACTCTTGAAAAGTTCATCTCGAGATCTAACCTCAAGCCTCAGTTTTAGCCAAGCTAGCCCTTCCCCCTTCGGTCAGGTCCAATAAACTTCCCACTCACCCCTCCTTTGCTAACAAAGCCTTTCCAGCAGGAGGGAAACGACCTCTCTCCCGCCACACCTCTTCTGCACCCAGTCTGCACCCCTTCACCTCTTGCCTACCCGCCTCACCTTCTCCCCAGATGCCGGAGCCTGAGATTTAACCCCTTCCGGCCCTCGAAGGGAACAGGGAAGACTAAAGACAACGCACCTATTTGCGTCTAGCAATTCTGTTCCCCGAGGAAACGTGGGCTTTAGAACGAAAGTACCAGGCCGCTCTCGCTAGGACTAAGTGAGCTTCTCCCTTCTTGTTTGTAGGGAAATCTGTCAAACTGCCTAGTTTGTCACCTTCCCCCACCTCCCCCGCGCGTGTAGAAGTGCGTGGCGCTTACTCCCAACCTGACCTGTCCAGTCCCACATAAGCCTCTGGGGTAGGGGGGCGCTCCGCGGTCTAGGGCGTTGTAGCTGCTGCCAGAAATATCGATGAGCCTTAAGCCTCGGGTTTAGGACAGGAGCTCTTTCTAGGGCAAATACAAAAAAACGTTTTTCTTCCTACAAATTAGTGGCATCCTCCCGCGGTCTGGATTCAGCTGGTAAAGTAACTCAAGCCTTGTCCTGACTGCAGGGGTGGGCGGGGTGGACGGCTCGGTGTTCTGCTCATTACGCCTGGCGTTCGAGGTGCTGGTCTACGCAGGCCTGGACAGTCCAGGAGGGGAACTGGAGCCGAGCGGAGGAGGAGGAGATGGCGTCCCAGCCGCCACCTCCCCCCAAACCTTGGGAGACCCGCCGAATTCCGGGGACCGGGCCGGGACCAGGACCCGGCCCCACTTTCCAGTGAGTGTGCGATTCTTCAGGCTGTGAGTTTGGTGGGCTCGAGCGGGGACTTGTCAGGAGGCGGTTGAAGCGGTTGTTGGCGGAGGTGTTCCCCTCCCCCCTTCAACCAGCCCCCAGCGTTGTGGGCAGGGGTCGAGGTGGAGCTGCGGCGCTTTACCAGTGGGGATTTCAGTGTCTCACACCTGTTTCAGATCCGGCGGCTTTTAGCAGCAACGGTTTTTCGGGAGCTCCTGGGCGTCTCTCTGGGTCCCTGTGCTTGGAAGAAAGGCGGGCGGCTTCCTATCCCTTCTGTTTACAAGACACTTTGACACAATGGCTTCACTCTCTTTAAAGCTTAGACTTTGGGTCTGTAGCAGCTGAGAGAGGCATTTGCCCAGACAAGGCACCGACAGGGAGCAAAGTTTCTCGTTAAAGCTGTTAACCTTTCGAGAAGTTGTTGAAAGCCCGAAAGGTTTTACGCAACTGGAACCCAAGCTGCGTATACTTTTCATTCTTTTCCAGCATAATTCAGCCAATGTTTCGGATCGAGATTGGAGAAGCAACTTTGAAGCAGGAGTTCTAGATCTCAGGCCTATGGATGGCCTTTGTGTGCAAAATAGTGTATTTTTCTGAGGCCTGTAGTTTTTGTTTTGTTTTTAATCAGTATCCGTTGGGTTATAGGACTTTAAAAAGGCCGAAACATACAGAGTTGGGAGTGTTTCGTAGCCTCGTGTGGCTTTTGTTTGGTAGTGCTGGATCTCTTAATTCAGATAGGTGTGATTCAAATGTCAAACCACCTGCTATTGTAGGTTTTTCTAATGCATAAAAACTCCAATATATTACTGGAAGGTATTTCTGCTGTGTTCCGAAATCTTTTATTTAAACACTATAGCTTTAACACAGTAACTACTTAATTTAATAAGGACACATTACAAGTAGTAAGCTTTACACTGTGGTAAGTCACGATGACATTATCTGCTACTATTTTTATGAGTAGGTTCTTTTTTCCCTATTTAGACTGCTTGTCGAATGAGAAAGGTTTTATTTTTTGCATCTGTTAGAGTCCTTATGTGAAATTAACCATTTTCCCATTTTTTTCATTATGAAGTATTTTAAACACAGACTAGTAGAGTAAGATAATACCTGTATATTCACTACCCAACTTCAAAAAATGTTAACACTTGCCAGATTTATTTTTAAAAAGAAAAGTTAGGCAGTTAAACTCTCCCATTCTTCTTTCCAGTGGTGACTGTTGTCCTTATTTGGACATTACAATACTTAGTAATGTTTTTATACTTTAGTTTATGCTAATTATTTGCATTTTATATTTGAAGCTTAAAAATGTAACAATAATATATATTGTATATATTGTAATTACATGTTACTGTTTATATGTTATTTGTTATATCTGTTTTTGTTTTTCCTGTTGCCCATTTTTCTATTGGCTTTATCTTTGCTTATCAATTTGTAAGAGTACTTTATTGTTGATACTAATCCTTTTTTGTTAGTACATTTTGCTAATATCTTTCACTGTGTGGCTTGTCTTTGTATTTCTGTTCAATTTTTTGTACAGATGTTTTTGATTTTAATATAGCCAAAATTTTCATATTTTATTGTCTGTGCTTTTTGTCTTGGTTAAGAAATCCTGTCTACCTAGATCAGGACAGTTTTTCTGTATGTTTTAAATCTTCTGGTTTTCACATTCGTATCTCTAATGCACATGGAACTGACTTTGTATAAAAATCAGGCCAGGTGCAGTGGTTCACACCTGTAGTCCCAAGCACTTTGGGAGGCCGTGGTGGGTGGATCACCTGAGGTCAGGAGTTCGAGACCAGCCTGGCCAACATGGCGAAACCCTGTCTTTAATAAAAATACAAAAATTAGCCGGGCGTAGTGGTGGTTGCCTGTAATTCTAGCTACTCAGGAGGCTGAGGCAGGAGAATGGCTTGAGCCTGGAAGGTGGAGGTTGCAGTGAGCCGAGACTGTTCCAATACATTACAGCCTGGGCAACAGAGCGGGACTCTGAACCAAAAAAAAAAAAAAAAAAAATCAATATGAAATAGGCAATCTAATTTTTTTCACATATAGGTAACTAATTATCCCAGCATTGTTTATTGAGTAGTCTGTTGCTAGTTTATAATGCCATCTATGTCATATCAGGTTTTCCTAAATATGTGGTTTTGTTTTGAGCACTTTATTTACTAGCATCACACTATCTTACTTACAGAGTTTTGTGAGTCTTGATTTTTGGATGTCAATAGTTTCCACTCATTGCCGTTCTTTGTAATTGCCCTTGTAGCAGTTAGACCTTTTTAAAAAGTCTTACTGGGATTTTTATTGGAACTGAGCTGAATTTATGGATCAAGTAAGTTTTTTATTCCATGAATATTGTAAAAGCTACAATTGGTGAGAATTTTTATTATCTTAAATATCTTATCTCCATGAAGTTTTTTTTCTCATATTTTATTTTTTATTCCTAGATTATTTTTGCTGTGGTAGTTGCAAACAGGCTTTCTTTTTTCCTTTTACATTTTCCAGTTGGTTGTTAACTGATATGGCAGAATGCTATTGATTGTTTCTAATATAAATGTTAAGTACAGCATAATGTCAAACGCTTAATTAGTTCTGATGCTTTGGTTGAAATTCTCTTTAATTCTATGTAGACAGTTCTGTCATTTACAGATAAGCTAGCATCCTTATATTGGTCCCGACTTCCACTGGAATGCTTCTGAAGTTTTTTACTGTTAAGTGTGAAGTTGCTTTTTGTTTTTGATAGATATCCTGTCAAAATTCTATCTCGCTACTTTGCTCAGATTTTTTAAATTTTCTTTTTATTATTATTATTATTTTTTGAAACGGAGTCTCACTGTGTCTGCCAGGCTGGAATGCAGTGGCATGATCTCGGCTCACTGCAACCTCTACCTCCCGGGTTCAAGTGATTTTCCTGCCTCAGCCTCCTGGGTAGCTCAGGTGATTGGCCTGCCTCAGCCTCCCAAAGTGCTGGGATTACAGGTGTGAGCCACCATGCCTGGCCCTACCTTGCTCAGATTTTTATCATGAAGTATTAAATTTTATGAATGGCTTTTCTGCATCTGTTGAAATCATTGTATGTGTTATTACTTTAATATGAAAATGTTGTTTATTGTATCAATTAACATTCTAATGTTGAACTACCCTTGCATTTCTCAGTGAACTCTGGTTAGTCGTGATTTTTTTTCTGATATGCAATTTCGAATTCTATTCCAGGCCAGGTGGTGTGGTTCACATCTGTAATCCCAGCACTTTGGAAGGCCAGGACAGGAGGATTGCTTGAGGCTGGAAGTTTGAGACCAGCCTGAGCAACACAGCAAGACTATGTCTCTATAAAAATTTTTAAAATTGGCCTGGTGTAATGGTGTGTGCCTGTAGTCCTAGCTACTAGGGAGGCTGAGATGGGAGGATCTCTTGAGTCCAGGAGTTCAAGGCTGCAGTTGGCTGTCATCATACCGCTGCACTCTAGCCTGGGTGACATAGCAAGACCCTGTCTCCAAAAAGAAAATTCTATTCCAATATTGTAAGACTTTTGCACACATGTTCCTATATGAAATTCATATTTTCTTTCCTTGTACTATTCTGGTTTTGTATCAAAGTTTTATAGCTAGATAAATTTTTCTGTTGAGCCTGATTTTTTTTTAGACAGTGTCTCACTGTGCCACCCAGGCTGGAGTGCAGTGGTGTAATCACGGCTCACTGCAGCTTCTATGACTTAGGCTTAAGTGATTCTCCTGCCTTAGCCTCCTGAGTAGCTGGGATTATAGGTGCATGCCACCATGCCCAACTAATTTTTATATTTTTAGTTGAGATGGAGTTTTGCCATGTTGCCCAGGCTGGTGTCAAACTCTTGGGCTCAAGCAATCCGCTCACCTCAGCCTCCCAGGTGATTCCCAGGTGTGAGCCACCTCACCTGGCCTAATTGATTTCTTTATAGGCAGACTGCCTTCTGCTTAGTAGCCTTTTAGATTTTATCTGATATCTTTGGTCCTCTAGCTTTATTATATTGTATCTAGGTATGAATTATACAGACACACACACATATATATTATATTTGTTTCTTTTTGCTCAGTATCCACAGTATTAAGTCTGAGGATTCATGTCTTTTTTTTATTTCAGGAAAATTCTCACCAGTTATACCTTTAAATACTATTTTAAGTTTTGTTTGAACACTAGTCTTTCCTTTCTTCTTCTGTTAAGCGTTGTATCAGGAATAGTATCTGCTGTAAGTAACAATATCTGACTTACTATGGTTTGGACTACAAAGACATTTATTGATTAGTTAGCAAGAAGTCCAGAGATCTGCTGTCTGAATATTGTCATCAAGGGACCTAAATTTTACTGGCTTTTTTTTTTGTCAGCTCTCTGACTTGTGGGCCATCTCTGTCTTTTGTTTGTTTGTTTTGAGGTAAGTCTTTGTATTATCTGAAGTTTCTCTTTTTTTAATATGTAATTTTGTTAT